GTGACACAAGCTCCCAGGGGAGCTGAACCCTTCGCTGACTCTCCTCACCCAGTCCTGTCCTTTTTGAAGCTTGAGAACATGAACTGATAAAGCTCTCAAGGCTGATGAACCAGAAAGGAAAAAAAAAAAAAAAAAAGTTTCTTCAAATCCGCTGATTATTAAGGTGACTTCACATACCAGGAGAACAGGATTAACACTGTGGTAAGTGGTCAAGGCAAGATGTAACTGGAATAGTTTTGTATAAAGCCCTGTAAGAGAACCACAAGTTCTTTCCTGGTCTCAGGTCATACCACTATATAAAAGAGTACAGTTCAGTAGAAAACAGGCATTTTTCTTTTTTGAGTCATAGCACGTAAGCACACAGTCTGACGCAGCTCTTTACACAAGGGTTTGTACAGCAATACCCAATGTTTCTGTGAAGTTCATTTCATTTGTGAACTTCTGAAGCAAAAGGCCCAGCAACACAGTAAATACCATCTGTAAGAACAGTACCTCCACCTCTTAGTCATGGAATTCACACTTCAAGATGGGTTCCAAACCATCAGAGCAGCAAAAGAGGTCTCACACGAGACCCTGGTGATATGTCAGGCCTCTGCTTGAGGAAAGGGCCTTCTTCCTTGTGCAGGTAGCCATTTCAAGGGGAGATTTCATCTCCCACACACATTCCCTCACCACCTTTAAGAACACTGATGCTGGGAGGAACAACTGGCTGAGTGAACTGGGTCTGTTCAGCCTTGAGAAAAGGAGACTGAGAGGGGACCTGATCCAGGTCTATAAATATCTAAGGTGTGGGGGGCAGAATGGCGAGGCCGGACTCTTTTCAGTGGTGAGTGGAGACAGGACAAGGGGAAACGGCTGGAAACTGCAGCATAGGAAGTTCCGCACAAACATGCGCAAGAACTTCTTTACAGTGAGGTGACGGAGCACTGGAACAGGCTGCCCAGGGAGGTGGTGGAGTCTCCTTCTCTGGAGATGTTCAAGACCTGCCTGGATGCCTACCTGTGCGACCTACTGTAGGGAACCTGCTTTGGCAGGAGGGTTGGACTCGATGATCTCAGGAGGTCCCTTCCAACCCCTACAATTCTGTGATTCTGTGATTCTGTGAACTCCAGCTGACTCTGCACGTAGCCAACATTGTGGATCTGTATCACAGCAGCCAGCTCAGCAATCCTCCATGCCATCATACACATGCTTGGGTATAGCCAAGCAAGCCCAATATGTGTGAAGTTAACTATGGTAGATTTCTCTCACTGAAGCATTAACCAGATTCTCCATCCAGCTCTGCAGCCTGCTCTAAGCTTGCCCTTATAGTGCCAAGCCAGTCCAAAATCTGAACAGACAATGTCCAGACAAGATCCAACCCCAGCAACGAAGGGTCTCCTGATGCTAAGGAGTAACATCAGCAGCAGCACATCCTCGTGCAAGGGATTCTAAGGTCAATGAGGCAATCAAGAGCAGGATCCACAAAAGCCTCAAGCATCAGAAACATTATCCATTGTGTCCTAGCAATTAAGAGCCTTTATCTTGGAGTTTCCTAAAAGGTTTACAATTATGGCGTCATTTTCACCAACATCTTTCCCTTATCTTGTTCCTCTCATAAGGACACAAACTGTGCAATTACAATTAAATTAGGAACAAAACTGACATCACAGAGCCATGATGATGGAAATGTCTATTTCATTGTCACTTAACCAGTTCTAAGGTCAGGCTCTTTACAGAAAAGACAAAACAAAACAAAGACTTTGGCAGTTGGCAGTACGTCATCTGAATGTCAGTTCATGCACCTGGAGAGTGCAAAGCAGGCAGAACTGCTTATGTTTCAATACCAACTGTCTTTTTTATTGGCAGGGAAGTTAAAACTCAGCTTGATCCAAGGACAGGAGAAAAACATGCATCAAATCCAGAAAAATCTGTGCAGGCCACCACTGTAAAGTTGGGTTTATCCTGTTGTGGAAGTTACGGTCATGTCAAATGCAAAATGCATTTGTTTAGACAGTTATAAAACCAGTAGTCATAGCAAAGCAGTATGTTCTAACCACTGCTAATTCCAAATGTGGAGCAGTGATTTCCCCAATTAGAGAACCGCAACACCTGTAGAATTAAGATCTTGTAATAAACACAGCTCACCAGAAAAAGAAGTGGAGGATAGGAAAGGTGATTTTTTAAATTCACTTACATTTTTAAATTATTAACCAGTAAGTTACATGTTACAGACACTCCCATCCTGCTCCTTTCTACCCAGCAAATTCAGACCGGATTTGAAACCAACTCTTGCTTGTCAGCCCTCCTCTTGGGAGAGCTCCCTCACCAGGGACTACTGCGCCAAAAATGGGCTCTCATGGCTTCCCAGCCCAAGCTCAGGCTCCAGCTTTCTGCACTTGCCATATGACATGCTGTGTTAGCACCGTCCTCTTTAATCTGTCCTCTCACACTGCTGTCTTTTAAAAAGCATCACCTTTACCTACGTGGATATTCTGTATTGGCCTTACAACTATCCAAACAGCATTGTGAAATTTTAACTAAAAATAGACAGCTGATATTTTTAAATAACTCTTAGCTCCAACTCACCAACCTGATTTTGTTTGAAGGGAAAAAGCAGGCTCCAACTTCAAGTTTCCATTGTAATTAATGATTACAACACATTCCTCTGCCGTATCAGATTTAGCACCTCATTAATGTGTGTGGTATTTTGCTTGTATGGCACAGCTGTAGTTAAAGTTGAATTAGTGTTTCCATTATAAACCCATGTTTTCAAAGGTTTATTACTCAGATACACAAGATTTAGTCTGAAATGAAAACTGCCATCGAGCATGTCAGCTGGGAAGCAATTTTTTGTCTTTCAAAATTTGGAAGGAACAGAACACAAGAAAAAAAAAAAAGCCACCCTGTTTAGTAATAATTCACATTTTAAAAGGCACTGCAAATACATGTTTACATGATAGCCTGTGACAGCTCTATAGAATGTCAACGCCTACATATTCCTGCAAGATGTGCCATCTCAAAAACTGAAATAAAAGCCACATTTTTACACTACTTGATGGGAGGGGAAGGGATAAAAGACTTAAATATATTCTTGATGAAGAAAACATAGTTTAAAAAACAAAACAAAAAAAAAACACCCACCATAATCTTTGCATAAAAACAAAGTCAGAACCTTTAGCAGGAGGACCTTTCAAACACCATTTGCTTTTTAAACTTGCTGGTACCATCAGCCTGACCTTGGCTCATTAACAAATTTAGCAAGAAATCAGTGAGCACCACTGACTTCACATTTGCTTGTTCAAGAAACTTGGACTCTTCAGGTATGACAGGATCTTACCCCTTGTAATAGTCAAGTGGGACTCACAATGCAAGGCAAAATGTGCACCAAAAAGGCTCCAAGGGCTCCAGGCTTTGCAACTATGCCCTTCTACAATTAGCTTTATGAGTGAACCACTAGGAAGCAGACCTTTTAATTGCAAGGTTTCTGAGGCCACTTCTTGGCTAATTGTTTTGATGACTCTATACTTACAACATGCAAATTCACCAACAAATATACGATGAAATCACCAAATTCCCATTTACCATCATTAACAGGATGGATGCATCTTCTGACAGCTAAGAAAAATTAAAATGTTATTTTTATAACAGAGTCAAATTCCCTGATGGGCTCTTTCACAGTTCTTTTGTCCCTAGGACTCATGGGTTTACTCAAGACATAATGTTTCCAGACAACAACAAATGCATGAAAGAGCATATAATAGCTACTGCAAGAAAACCAGGGCAGGCATATCCTTCAGGAGCAGAAAGGCAGTGCTGTTACTCCAAATTATTCACATTTTAACTGAATTAACAAAACACTCCCATAACAGAGAGCGTGGTGAGTGCACTTTTTTCTAGCGTTGCCCTCCATTTCTCAGGAGAGTACTCCAAACAACAATGATAATGGGAGCCTGGCAGCAATTGTATATCCATTTGATCAAGTTCTGGAGGTTGCTACAGTCTATCCAAATCCCTGCAGTTAACCGCACAAACAACCTGAGACACTGTAAATATCTCTATTCCCTCCACAATCAAAGTCTCAAGAAGATTCTGTACATCAAAGGTGGTATAGTACTGTGATACTCACCCAGGCCATCACGAGCTCTAGACTGTAATGTTTTCTTCTCCCTTGTTGTTCCAGGCATGAGAACCCACCTTTCTTTTCAAAGTAGAGCTTCCTGTTGATGGAGAGAAGGAGGTCTGGAAGGAGGACAACGAAGACTCCAACCACAGGCAAAGACCCAATGGCCTCTAGAAGTATCTAGAGACAGAAATTTACAAAGAAAATATCAGCATAAATGGGATAAATTACCTAGAGAAAGATACGCTTAATGACACCTTGGCCTTGTGTTAAGTGGTTAGAAGATCCACATTGGGCCAGTCTTTTGAGGACATCAACAGCAAGTTATATTTCACACCGAGCAAGATTCTGATGGAGGTCTTCATTTTCATCACGTTGTGAATACCACCATGGGAGATTCTTACCAACTCTAATAAACTTTCACATTAGTGCATGTCACAGAGTTGATCAGATCAATCTACATCCGTGACAGGGGCGACAGGCCTCTGCCCTCCCCCTCCACCCCAGCCCCACAAAAATGGGAAGGAAGGAAGGGAGGAAAAAAAAGCAGCGGCAACAATCTATGGAGGAAAACTTATTTTACTATAATATCGGAATACAAAATAACACAATATATACAATTTAGTTGAAATTGAGATTAATAAATCAGACAAGATAAGAGAGAGAGAGTTCCCAGGACCGATTCAAACCTGAAAAGCTTGGAACGGCTAGGAAAGCACCTCCAGCACCCACTGCAAGGCAGCAAGAGAGCGCCCCCTCCACCCGGAAGGGCCAGATCCCGTGACTGCTGTAATGTACAGGGATAGGTAGCTGGGATTGGGGCAGTGACACTTTAATGCCCCGTACACTACATGATGTTTTGATGTGGAATACTGAAACCCAAAAACAAAAAAACAAAAAAACATAGAACCATGACAGTGCAGAAGTCCTCTGGTTTCAGGAGAGAGGCTGTCAATCTATACTAGCAATGGGGATCCAGCCAAGATAGCACCATTGGCCTTAAGGCATTTCTGTACAGCTTGCAGTAAGTACGTAGGGCAGGCTGTGGGGCAGATTAGCTCCAGGTGAGAAGGTCTCAATACCTCCTTTTCAGTTTGGATGTTTTTCTGTAAGATTGACTATGCTGTAATGGCACTCATTAACTGCATTACTTCTAAGAACAGGCTAACGCCTAGTCTATGAACCTTGTCAATCTGCTACCTTACCCTTCAGTAGGAAGTATATTACAGTACCACATAATTCCCAGTCTTTGTTGCAAAGGACCAACCTCCAGCTGAGGTAATTCAGGTTAGCTCTCCTGGTGTCAGTTTTGGCCATGTATAGCAAGCACAGTGGATATGCATCAGCTGATAACCTAGTCCTACACCTCAACATCCCTATGTCAAATTGTAGAGAAACAGTCTCATTTCAATTTCTCAGAGTCAGCTGTGCCAGTAGGTCTGCTGAAAACCACAGGCGCCAGCAAAAAGCTTTTAAAGCCATTTCACCTCTCTCACACATATCAAAATGCCAAAACAAGGGACAAACACTACATAGATCACCCAGTGTGGATGGCAAGGGCACACGTCAAAAAATGTAAGTACTGTCTGCAAAAGAAAAAAAAATAAAATTGGCTTGTTATTCTGATAATTACTTCACTCAAGAAGGGGTAAAGTTCAGTTGTCCGATTCAAATCAAAGATCCCATAAAAATGAAACATCAGCAGCACCAGTGGCACACCAGGGATGTCTGTGATTGCAAAGCTACAGCTCACAGATGAGATGAGCAGGAGGAAAGGATGTAAACAGAGCCAGCCCTGCCTGTAAAACATCCCACTGGGAGCTTACAAAACTTGACTCAGCAAAAGGCTCAGGCTGGAAGAGCTGAACCATCTGCAGTTACAGCCCTGAGAGCGCTCACCAGGACTATAATCAAGGGGATTTAAACTGATTTCCTACAAGTCAACGTGCCTTAACTGGAAACAAAAATCACAAATGCTTAGCAGCAGCCCACATACAAAGCAGATGAGTGCTGGATGCCAAATCCAGCACTATATGGGCTACACAAACTCAGGAGCTGGCTCTGATCTTGCTCACTCCAGCCTGTGGAGGGAACGTTAACACACACTGAATTATGTAAACTTAAATGACAACACAAGTCCATATTTGCACTGCTCTCTTCTGCACAGTGCAGTTACTTCTCTAGCAATTGCACCTACATTCCCCTTGTGTCTCCCCAGCCCAAAGCACAGCCCAAGAAGACGGAGTCTGGTCTCCCTTTTGGGGCTGAAATTTGCCCATCTCCCCCCCCACATCCCAACCCAAGGAGCAGGGCTGGGGATGTGAGAGCAGCTGAGTGATACACCCACTCCTGCTATTTTCAGCTGCTGAAGTCACCACTAAGTGCCTGCAGAAGCCAAGTATAAATCAAAGGAGCTGAGCAGAAATCAAAATCGCCAGAACTCCAGAATATATACAACAGCCCAGCTGGGCCCCATCTCTGACTCTTCCTTTTCTCAAGCATAGCTTTGGCAGAAAAGGGGATTATCATCTCTACCTTACCGTACAAACACAATACAACCCATCTGGGATCATCACATCTCAACAGAAACACTTTTGTGCCTCCGTATGAATGTATGCATTGTGTGAAGCTGAGCTTAAAATCTGCAGATTTAAAGTGGATTTGTGGCAAACTGACAATGCTACGAAGGCTGTCTGTGAGCGATTTCATTGCAGAGAGAGTGATGTGGAGGGGTGCAAGGACACTGCTGTTCCTATTTATTAAGCCCTTTCAACAAATCTCAGTTCTAAGCCCAATGAGATGTCATAGTTTGCCCTTCTCAGACAAGAAAGAAGCAAGCTACCAATATTTTTGAACACCAGTTGCCCACCACAAGCTCTGTAATGCTACATGACCCCAGCCACAGAAGCTTCCAAGGTACCCCTTTCTCCAACAGTCCTGTATCACACCTTGCAAAATCCCAGAGGAAAGAGCAGGCATCCTGAAAGAAAGTTCAGAGACCTGTTACTATCTGCTGCCTACATGGATGCAGTAGTACAGCAGTGTAGACTTGAGACAACCCTTGAGGCTTCCCCTACTCTTTGAGGGCAGGGTGTAAGGCACCTTCTGTACAGACTGCTGATACAGCACCACTCATCTAAGGAATGCATGCTGAACTGCAAGAGGGTGCCTGGGGCTTCTGCAGCATAGGAGCTCATGCATCCGGTCACAACAGCTGTAAGCAGTTTTCTCTCCCTCATACTACCTGTGCCAGATACTGGAGGCTTCTGCCATGGTATCTCTGAGGGAGGGCTGTGAGATTTACACCTGAGCACTGTCTCACATACGTGGGTTGAAAGATTACAGTCTGAGCACCTGGCTCCTGCTGGAAGCACAGATTCCTCTGTGTTGGAGCCACGCTGGCTCTCTGCTCCTCTGCAATCAGAAAGAAATGAGCTGCACCTGCATGTGGTCCTAATCACATGTCCCAGCTCTCCTCTCTGCCTGCAGCTGAAGGGATTGCTCTGCAGGATTGATCTCCAGGCTAAGACTATGCCTGGGAAATTATTTCAAGACCGATTTGAGCTAGAGCTGTGCTCTGGCTTGCAGTAGGATGTTTGGACCTGGGAGGGTGCTGAGAGGGAAGAAGAGCAGAAACACACACGTGACTTGCATTACAGCATTGCTGGAGCGTATCAGAGCTTCATGCATAAGTGAAACAATCAGCCTCACAGCACCAGATGGAAAGGAAAAAACAGTGTGGTACTGAATTCCTGGTTCACGCTCTGGGCAACCAAGGCTAGGGAAGGAGCAGGGCACCATGCACTTTGAGACATGTACAGTCCATTCAGCCAGTACTCTCTTCCACTCGTTCATGCATTTTTAAGCTAAGTAATCAATGCTGTAGATACCTTCATGCAGTGCCACAGTGAGCCCACGTGTTCTGCAGCCCCAGGTGAGATTGGAAGCCAGGAAATGGTGTTGACACACCCAGCAGGTTAAGGGCAAGCATACCTGCACAATCCTGTGTGTGCTCTGCTGAAGTACAAAGCAGAAACACAATGGGAAGGACTCCAAGCCAGGAAAGAGGAGATCAGAGACAAAAGGCAGGAAAACGTGGCATCTGGCAGAGGACACAGGGGGAACAAGATATTACAATGCTGTTCCTGCTCTAACAGCTTCCTCAAAGCCACCTCCATGCTAAAAGATGACCACAAGGCAGAGTCTGCCTGGAAGAGCAGTAGAGAAGTATTGGCCAGGCTGTGACAGTCATCATATTCTGTGATCATATCCAGCTGCTACTTGCTTTTCAGCAGGTTTCACAGCAATTCATCTAGCCTGCTGGGCACCTCCAAAGAGTCCATGCAAATGAATGGAAGTACACTACATATGCACTTGAGAATCTGCTAACAACAAAGCCTTAATCAATTCAGCTTTGCAAGGGTTAATCTTTTGCATAAAATCCTATTCCAGGCAATAGCTCTTTAATTCCAATTGATACCAAGCTTCCTGCAATAGGAATGTTTACTGGTACTTTTTAATTACGAAAAAAAACATAAATTGTCTGTTTTACTGTCTACACTAATTACCTTTCATTATATATTTGGAGTAAGCTATGATTTTCCTGCTGGTTCCCATGACATTTTTCATTATCAACCACTAATTGTCTAGCATGCACACTGCATTGTGAACCAAGTAGGCTGATGTGTGGGCAGAAGTTCTAGCAAAAGCTGCAAGGCAATAGAAGTGCACATTATTATTATTGCTATTATGATGTATTAGAAAGTTTCCACCTACATGCATACCTACGTATCCTCTTCCCTATCAGCAATGTCACAGCACAGCAAAGCACAGGAGTCCATCTGTAATAAGCCTCACGCTTGGCAATAATCAGCAGCTACTGAAGGAAAGTTATCTGGGGTGAAATGACAGCAGTCTTACTGCAAGGGCAAATTCCCTTCTGGGTGTGATGGAAACACCAAGAAGGTTTCTCAGGCACTTCTCATTGCTCAAAGCACATGAGCATCAGAATCTCAGGAGTCACCCTCCCCACTTACAAGGTCAGGGCTACAAAGGAAAATAGTGCCATATGTGGATTCATAGTGGAAGAGGATATATGGTTAATGGGATCTTTCTGAGGGTGCATGAAAATAAAAAGCTAAAGGGTCTTCATGAGACACATATAACACTGATTACAGAAC